ACCAATCAAGTCAGTCCCATTCCCATGTTCTTTCCCCCTGACTTGTAAATTTATTTCCTTCAAGTTCTTACCCAATTTCATTTGGAAATCATCCATTAGTTCTTCATAGGCAGTGAGTTGCAGGGTGCAGGTAAAACAAGTACTTTCTTACATTTCCATGCCCAAAACCGTAAAGCTATGTCTTCTGGTCCTTGTATTATCAGCTAATGCAAATGAGTTTCCCTTTTCTATTTCATCTAAACCTGTCATAATCTTGTACACCTTTATTAAATATCTCCTCAATCTCCTTTACTACTGGTTCTCTGGGTAACATTATGTTCATCTAGATTTAAAAATTTGAAAAATTGAGAAGCAGGTTTGTCATTCCACCGCCCACTTCGTTCAATTACATTTATCGGTGACAATAGGTTTCAAAATCAAAGGCTGTATAATTTAAATAGACAAGCAGAACTGACTGCATCTCAGTGACTCAAATGTTCTTAACAGTAGCATCAAGACAGAAGCTACAACAGCATAATGTTCTTTAAGCTGCCATTAAGTCAAAACTGCCTGTTTTAACAATAAACAATCCTGAAGAAAGATCAGAATCATTAAACATTGCATTGTAATTTAATTCAAAGTCTATTGATGACTTTTAAGAGATACATATTGTAAAGTTAATTAATAACATGTCACAACCATTCAGATCTTCATATACCATTAACAACTTGTTGATCTTTTGCATGAGGCTTCTGTACCATCTGTTCCCTTAGCCCCTCCTCTGCCTCTGTCAAAATTATTTAAAAAGACATTTCCAACCCCTTTTAGTTATAGAGCCATAGAATCATTAGCACAGAAACAGTCCCTTCCATCCAACCTGTTGGTGCCAACAGACATCCCACTCTGACTTAGTCCCATTTGCCAGCATTTGGCCCATATCCCTCTAAATTCTTCCTATTCATATACCCATCCGATGCCTTTTAAATGTTATAATTGTACCCACCTCCACCACTTCCTCTGGCAGCTCGTTCCATACATGCACGATCCTCTGCTTGAAAACGTTACCCCTCAGGTCTTTTTTAAATCTTTCCCCTCTTGCATTAAACCAGTGCCCTCTAGTTTTGGACTCCCCTACACTAGGAAGAAGACTTTGGCTATTCACCCTATCCATGCCCCTCACAATTTTATAAAGCTCTGTAAGGTCACCCGTTAGCCTCCAATACTCCAGCGAGAAAAGCCTTCACCTATTCAACCTCTCCCTATAACTCAAACCCTCCAGGCCCGGTAACATCCTTGTAAATCTTTGCTGCACCCTCTCAATTTAACAACATCCTTCCTCTCGAAGGGCAACCAGAAATGTATGCAGAATATCAAAAGTGGCCTCACCAATGTCCTGTACAGCCGCAGCATGATGTCCCAACTCCTATATTCAGTTTTCCCCCCCCGTGAAGGCAAGCATGCCAAATGCCTTCTTCACCACCCTGTCTTTCTGTGACTTCACTTGCAAGGAACTATGAACCTGCACCCCTAGTTCTCTTTGTTCGGCACCACTCCCCAGGACCCTACCATTAACTATATAAGTTCTCTCCTGGTTTGTCTCAACAAACTGCTACACCTCACATCTGTTGAAATTAAACTCCATCTGTCACTCCTCAGCCCATTGGCCCATCTGATAAAGGCCCCATTGTACTCTGAGATAATCTTCTACATTGTCCACTACCCCACCTATTTTGGTGTCATCTGCAAATTTACTCACCATACCTCCTTTATTCACATCCAAATCATTTATATAAAAGATGAAAGGCAGTGGACCTAGCACCAATTCTTGTGGCACACCACTGGTGACAGGCCTCCAGTCTGAAAAACATCCCTCCACCACCACCCTCTGTCTATTACCTTCAAGCTACTTTTGTGTCCAGCTGGTTAGCTCCCTCGGATCCCATCTGATCTAACCTTATTAACAAATCTACCATGCAGAACTTTGTCGAATGCCTTGCTGAAGTCCACATGGACAACATTCACCACTCTGCCTTTATCAATCTTCTTTGTTACCTCTTCACAAAACTCAATCAAGTTAGTGAGACACAATTTCCCACACACAAAGCCATGTTGACTATCCCTAATCAGTCCTTGCCTTTTCAAATGCATGCAAATCCTGTCCTTCAGAATCCCCTCCAACAACTTATCCACTACTGATGTAAAGCTCACCAGTCTATAGTTCCCTGGCTTTTCCGTACGGCCTGTCTTAAATAGTGGCACCACATTAGCCAACTTCCAGTCTTCCGTGGCTGTCGATGATACAAATATCTTAATAAGGGGCCCAGCAATCACTTCCCTAGCTTCCCACAAAGTTCTGGGAAACACCTGATCAGCTTACGGGGTTTTATCTACCTATATGCATTTTAAGACTTCCAGCACCTTCTGTTCTGTAATATGAACTCTTTTCAAGACATCACTATTAATTTCCCAAGTGCCCCAGCTTCCATGTCTTTCTCCACAGTAAATACTGATGTAAAATATTCATTTAGTATCTTATCCATCTTCTGTGGTTCCATACATAGATGGCCATGTTGATCTTTAAGGGGCCCTATTCTCTCCGTAGTTACTCTTTTGCCCTTAATTTACATAGAGAATCTCTTTAGATTCTTCTTAACCCTATTTGCCAAACCTATCTCATGTCCCCTTTTTGCCCTCCTAATTTCTGCCTTCAGGATACTCCCACTGCTCTTATACTCCCCTGTGGATTCACTCGATCCCAGCTGTCTATACCTGATATATGCCACCTCCTTTTTCTTGACTAGACCCTCAATTTCTCTAGTCAGCCAGCATTCCCTAACCAGCCTTGGCTTTCACCCTAACAGGAACATACTGTCTCTGTCTCATTATCTCATTCCTAAGGCCTTCCACTTCCCAACCATTCCTTTACCTGCGAATAGCCTCCTCCAATCAACTTTTTAAGTTCCTGTCTAAAACTGTCAAAATTGGCCTACTCCAATTTAGAACTTTAACTTTTTGATCAATTCTAATCTTTTCCATAACTATTTTGAAAGTAATAGAACTATAATCACTTGCCCCAAAGTGCTCCCCCACTGACACCTCAGTCACTTACTCTGCCTTATTTCCCAGCAGAAGGACAAATACTGCTGCTTCTTTAGGAGATACATCCACATATCGAATAAGAAAATTTTCTTGTACACACTTAACAAATTCCTCCCCATCTAAGGCCGTAACACTATGATAGTCCCAGTCAATGTTTGGAAAGTTAAAATCCCCTACCATAACAACTCTCATATTCGTACAGCTATCTGAGATATCCTTAAATATTTGCTTCTCAATTTCCCACTGACTTTTGGGGGGCCTATAATACAATCCCAAAAAAGTGATCATCCCTTTCTTATTCCTCAGTTCCACCAACATAACTTCTCTGGACGATCCCCCAGAAATATTCTCCCAGAGTACAGCCATAATGCTCTCCCTAACCAAAAACACCATTCCCCCTTCTCTCTTGCCTCCTTTTCTATTTTTCCTATAGCATCTATACCCCAGAACACTAAGTTGTCAGCCCTGTCCATTCATGAGCCATGTAATAGTTATGATATTACAATCCCCTGTTCCCAACTATGCTGTAAGTTCATCTGCCTTGCCTGTCAGGCTTCTTGCATTGAAGTAATTACAATTTAATTTGTCAGCCTTACCTCGTTCTCTGCCAAATTCTTGTCTGCCTTGATTATTAGACTTGCTACACTTATCGACTGTACCAGCCTCAACCTTTTCTCTTTTCTCAATATCGCTTTGGTTCCCACCCTCCCCTCTTACTGGTTTAAAGCCTCCTGGGCAGCTCTAGCAAACCACCCCGCAAGGATATTGGTTCCCTTCCAATTCAGATGGAGCCCATCCCTCTTATACTGTTCCACTCCTGAAGAGATCACAATGGCCCAAAACTGTGAATCCTTGCCCCTTGCACCAGCTCCTCCCAAACATTCATCTGCTCCATCCTCCTACTCCTACTCTCACTAGCCTATGGCACCGGTAGTACTCCAGATATTACCACCCTCAAAAACATACTACCTCCTGCCTAATTTCCTATATCCTCTATTTTGCAGCTTCCCCGAGACATCCTTGACCCTGGCACCAGGGAGGCAACACACAATCCTGATGTCTCACTGCAGAAACGTCTGTCTGTGCCCCTGTTTGGAGAGTCCCCTATTACAGTCAATCACTTGTAACCTGACACAGCCTTCATTACAGTAGAGCCAGTTACAGTGCTAAAAACCTGGCTGTCAGCTATACTCCTCTGGGAGGCCATCCCCTCATGCAGTATCCAAAACAGCGTACCTGTTTGAGATGGGGATAGCCACAGGAGACTCCTGCACTACCTGACAACCTGTCCAACCATTCCTAGCAGTCAACCATCTACCTGACTGCATTTGTGGTTTTTCTACTTTCCTGAATCTGCCATCCATCACTCCTCCTTGCTCTTGTAAACTCCTCATACCTCTAACTGCCACTCCAACCGATCCATGCGGTCCGATAGGAACAACAACCAAACATACTTCCTGCAGACATAGTCTCCAGGAACGTTCAAATTCTCCCTGAACTCCCATAACTGTGAGGGAGAGCACATCACCCTAACAAAAGCCATTTCTGCCCCTTTAACAATCTACAGAACCAGAAATTACCTAAAAACAAACTCAACACACTTTGTTCAAAAATGCAGCATTAGCACAGTCTTACTGCTCCAGAACACTGCCCTGGGATAACTTAATACCAATCCTTAATAAGAGTCATGCTGGACTCAAAACATTAACGCTGTTTCTCTCCTGAAAAATGCTGCCAGACCTGTTGAGTTTCTGCAGCGTTTTCTGTGTTTCTTTCAGATTTCCAGCATCCTCAGTATTTTGTGTTTACTTCATACATTCCTGTCAACCTCAACCTAAATTTCAATTCCAGTTTTCCTAAAGAAAAAGAGATGTTTCACACAAATATAAGTGTAACCATAGAAATTTTTGTTAACTTGATTAAAGAACTATTTCAGAGCTAAGGGGAAAGGGAGAAAATTGCTTAAATTAATGGCAACATTTCATCTGTGCCATTTATTCTCAGATTAATTGGGAATATTCAAGAAGTAAAATCAGAAGAATAAATATAACAATTAAGTTGTAATATTGTTCTGAAAATTGCATTTTTGAGTAGCAAACATTTGTTGTTCTGTCACAGGTTGTACTGTGGACTGCTGTCAGAGGTTGACAATTTAACATTTAATTCACATTTAGTAGATCCAGTGAGAGGTTCATTTTTTTTTCTGCTTTCATATTGCTGTTAGAAAGACCACAAAAATATGAAATCACTCAGAGATATTAGGGACTGCTGATGCTGGAGTCTGAGATAGCAAGATGTAGAGCTGGATGAACACAGCAGGTCAGGCAGCATCAGAGGAACAGGAAAGCTGACGTTTCAGGTCTGGACCCTTCTTCAGAAGTGGGGGAGGGGAAGAGGGCTCTGAAATAAATAGAGAGAGGGGGAGGCGATGATAGAAGGTGGATAGAGAAGCAGATAGGTGGAAAGAAGACGGACAGGTCATGGAGGCGGGGAGGAGGAGACCCTTACCTTACCATCCAATCTGTTAGCATTACACACTTGCCTACTTAGCATCTCAAAGAGGCTTTGGGAGTTTAAACTTTGCTAATGAAATACAGCAGCTGGTGCTGTAAAAAGAGGGCACAGATTTTTGCACTGATTATCTGTGCTGCTCTGTGAATATTGCTGCAATGGTGAGTTTGGAATGAGCTTCCATCAGAAGTTAGGCCACTAACCTCTGTTCTGTCTGCACAAGCATTGACTAAGCTGCTTCCAACATTGTATATGTTTATGTTGGATTCCCAGCACCTACACCGTCTTTTTGTTTTTATTGTAGTAAGTTGTTTTCAGCAATGGCTTTGTTGTATAATTATCAAATAACATTTTCTTCAATCTTTTTTCAGGTGATATGAAACAGTTAGCATTGACCATTGATACTCCTTTCAAGGGCTGCATATGTAACCTGAAACTAACGAAGGGGACGCAGACTCTAGAAGTCGATTTCAGCAAAGCAATTGAGCTCAAGGGAGTTCAACCCCTTACTTGTCCTGCATAGTGAAATCTACTGCTATGTTTTAAACAAAGATGAATGTGTGTGGTTCAGAATAAGCCTGTATAACTCATACATGGCAGAAATATTTTTGGTAATGCAATTGAAACAATCTCATCAAGTTACATTAATACTTTCTTTTCTGTACTAATCATTATCACTAAAAATATTTTCTCCGTTTTCATTTATTCATGAAAATTAAAATAAGTATCCTTTCATCCTACAAATTCAACTTCTTGTTGATTATTTATATATATAGTTACTGAGTTTGCTTCTTTTGTTTAGCGTGTGAATGTAATGCATTGTGTGCAATACAGCGCAAATATTTTAGTAAATGCTTCTTTGAAGTGAAAGTATTAGTTCTCTTTCTGAGTGAGAGTTGGAATTTGCAACAAATCTCACAAGTTACACTATCTTTAAGGAACTATGTCCAGAACATAACCAAAACATTTCTCCAATGTAGCCATTTTTAGAATCATCTCTATCTGACTTCATTATGAATTTTAAATAGGAAAAGGTCTTATTTTGTTAATATCACAAACTAGTAATTCCTTGGTCTTTGAAGATTCCAGTTGATACAGTATTCATTAAAATACCACTATTTGTAGTGTTATGATGAGTCCCCAAGGAGGTTCCCCAATTCAGTACAGTCCAGACATAATGCCCCAAATTATGTTCCCAGGTGAAGAGAGATGAACTGGTTCCCCTTCTTCAATCATCTGTTCCTTGGTTGGTTATGTCAAGATTAACCTAAAAAATATCTGCTCCCTGTGGATACTTCTATCCACACCAAATGAATTTATGTTTTAAAATGAGCCAATTTAACCAGGCTTTCTTGAGTTAAATAAAACATGAGTTTATTAGTCAATAAACATGAGAAGAAGTAACAATTCAAGCATGTACACACAGCCTAGAGAAGTGTGTCCAAAAAAGATAAAAGTTAAAAAAAAAGTGTGGATATACATTTATTTGGTTCAGTGTCTGGTTGTTTATAAAGAGTAGATAGTGAAAGTTCCATTAATGTTATTTGTTGAGCAGTCTATTTTGGGATTCTTGGCTTTGTAGGATATCTGAAATTCTCTTCTACTGCTTTCTGTTTGATGGTGACTGGCTTCCAGCGTTCAACTGTGAAGTTCACAGCACACTAGTACGTCAGCTGTCTAACACAGAGAGACCAGGAGTTGCATTTGGCTTTTAATAGTTTTCTGCAGAAGTAAAACACAGGTATAAGTTGTGACTCGTGTCTACACTTTTGAACATAATCTACAAGAAATGTTTTCCTGTTGAGTGGAGTTAATTTTATTTTCTTTCATGTCTGCTATTTGAAGCTTTCTTGACACCCGACAAAATGCTGCATTCCAGGGATCTTTCAGCAGTCAATAAACTCCATGCTGAGAAGTTGCAGTATAGGCCAGGCCAGGCTTGGCTTGCAATCTTTGTTTTGAAAAAACACATCTTATCCAAAAGTTCAATATGTCTGTAATTTGGGGCTCTGATCTATCGGCGTGGCAGTGGAAAGAAATTAATGCCTTCTAAGTTTTAATTTTATTTCACTAGGGATTATGACCAGCCCATATTGTCCTCCTACTCAAAGAAGGCAGCTTTTCTTTTCTTTTGTGATTTGTAGACACCTGTATGACGCCTTTCACAGGTGAAACAATTTGAGCAACAATTCAGTCTCTTGTTGGTATGAGTCTTCAGTTTTAAACTCTAACCACTGAACTAATTAGCTACTGAAAACGAGCTTATCGACACTTTCTCAGACACAGTCCAACTTCAGTCTCTGATTGGTTTCTTCAGGGTGTTGGTCATCTTTAGATGTTACTTCCTGACTGGATCCCTAAAGGTGTCAGTTACCTGTGGAACATAGACATCTCATAGAGTTTTCTTATTCTTTCATTAAACTTTTGCTACTAAGATTATGAGGCATCTTACTGTAGTTTCTTTGTCCACTAATTGGAGGTAAAATTGTGTGTGATGTCAGGTACTGATGATTAACGTTTTGGGCTTACCATCCAAAACGCCTAATTATTATAATGTGCAGGTATCGATATTGCATGTTCTGTAGTATTCTCATTTTTGGATTTAAAGAATTGCTTAGTGGTGTGGATTTCAATAGTAGCAATTGATGCTTGATACAAGTTAATTCAACATAGCAACAACACACAGCTGTAAAATAATACAGAAATTACAAAGTTCTTCATACATGAAATCTATACAAAGTGTATATACACTGAGTGCAAAAAGACAATCAGTGCATAAAGGTGAGATGGCAAAATGCACTTAAACACAGTAGTAAACGTTCAATTGATATGAAGATGAAGTAACAAGGATATAACAACTACATAGCAATAATGGCTTAGTTCTTAAGTTCACAGAATTAAAACAGTACATTGCTTTGTTCCTTGAAAGAAAGTGACTGTTTTATCAAGGTACCAAAAGGTAAGAGACAAAACCAATTTGAGATGCAGCTGATGGCTGAAAACCTCAGTTGTTCTCTTCACACAATAGGCCTTTGCCATTTAGCCAACAAGTATAAACATTCATGGCAGCAAGGATTCTTTTGGCTCATTGACATTGTCCCAGCCTTTGAGCTAGGAGGCCTGAGTTCAAATCCCACTTGCTCCAGAGATATGTAATAATATCTCTGAAGAGGGTGAGACAGAAAATGTGTAACCTGACACAATGGTAACATCCCTATATCTGAGCCAGGATGCCCAGATTCAAGTCTTGCCTCAGGTATGTGACTAAATGGGTTAATTAAAATATCTGTAACCCGGACAGGCATCATGGCAAAAGCCTGCAATTGAATTATACAAGTGTTGCTTTGCCTAAGCCTAGTATGTAGATAAAGGTGTTGGTGAAATTTATAAAATAGGATCATAAGTATAGTGATTTTTATGCTCTGTGATTGTTTAAAGTGTTATGTTTATTCCGAGGGAAATGTTTTTTTTTTACTAGCAGTTCCTTTAGGAATTACTGGTTTGGTTTCTTAATGCCTGTTTGAAATCAGGAGTCTGTCTAAGCCTGTTTGAAAGACTCATAACTGTTTTTGTCGAGACCCTATCTAAGACCAACTCAAACAGGCAAATTGTTGACAAGAACCACTTCAGAATTTCAGTGGTGGCCTCCCATTTACCAAACAAAGTGTGGGATCTCTGAGGTGTTGGGGATCTTATCTGTCGGCTCGAGAGCCAGAAAGAACCCAACGTTGTCTCTCTTCTGGGAGATTTGCCTTTTCTTGAGCCATTCAGGCACTTAGCTCACCAGTAATAGGCCTTTTTGTAGGATCAAGGACCCTGGGGTTATAGATCCTGCACACTGGTAGTTTCTCTGTATTCAGCAGTGCTACTGTGAACATAGTGATCGCAGCCAGTACTACAGTGACCCAAGACCTTGGATCGAGGAGGGCTCAGGGTCAGGTAAATGTTAGTGTGAAGGAGGGCATGAGGTTGGGAGGGTAACGGTGGGTGTGGGTTGTGGGGAGGGTAGCAGCAAGGCAAGAGGATGGTTCTCAGTGGGCCTCTGCCTTCCCAATGCCAGGACCTTGATTGGACACTGTGTGAGACCAGTTTGCTCTTTGTTCCTTGCCATGAACTGCCTCCTCCCTTGGAGTGGCATCAGGGTGAGAAAGGGTATCGTCTGAAGACTTGGCCCATGACATGACTCCTGTGTGGAACCCGCTAAGTCCTGTTAAGGGGAAGCACAAAGTCTTCCACAGCTCAACAGGGACAAAAAGAAAAAACGGCCCACTGGAATGCTGGAGAGGGCACTCTGCTGCCTGGATCACTCCAGTACACCGCACAGAGGATTTCCAGGGTCATTGTGGTTTGCTGTACTATACACAAGGTTGTGCAGCAGACAGTGAGGAATTACTAATCAAGGAAGTGAAGGAGCCAGAGTCATCCTCAGACAATGATGTAGGGGTAAAAACAGATGACCACAAGGGAAGGTATGGTTCCATCTGGAGATACTAGAGTGATCGTCCCACTCATTTAAACTTCATGTTACATGTAGTGCTGAGGCTTTTAGAGTGTGAGCTCCACTGCCAGAAATACATTGCCTGATGCCTTGATGCGAGCCACTTTGGTGAAATTCCACCGTGGCGTGGTGGGAGTATTTTTAATTCATTTGTGGGATTTGATTGTTGCTGTCGAGGCTAACATTTATTGCCTATCTCTACTTGCCCAGAGGGCAGTTAAGAGCTAATCATATTGTTGTGGGTCTTATTTCTTTCTCAAAAGCACGTCAGTGACCACATGGGCTTTTGCATATGGCTGTTAACCTCTGCTGTCCAGATCCCTTTGGTCAGGGAGGGGCTCCTGGTGATATCATAGGAAAGCAGCAACTTCCACCGTTCCTGAATGCTACAACACAGGACCAGTAGGGATCATCACTGAAATTTCCAATTCTGGGTGAGAGCAGGAAGTAACACTAATGATGTCATTGTTGGACCTAAGAAGGAGTTGTGAGCTAGGTCCCGAGTAGGATTGGAACAAAGAATATTCTACATAACCCGTAAAGAGGCAGGCATAACTGGGACCCATGCAAGAACGTATAATAAATCACTGAAATAAGAAGCCTACATGGTGCAGATTCTGAGACAACATCTTGTGTTTTTCATGGGTTGCAACAGTTTCCAAGATCCAAAATCTTCAAAAACGAGGAAGTTCTGAGGAAGGGTCACTGGACAGAAATGTCAACTCTGATTTCTCTCCACAGATGCCGCCAGACCTGCAGAGTTTTTCCAGCAATTTCTGTTTTTGTTTCTTCAAAAATGATGCTGCTAACTTGTCAGGATCAGATACCTGTCCATGGGCCATATATAAATGTATAAACCGTCAATCTCATGAGTTCATGGTGGCGTCATCAAATTCCTGCCCACAATTAGCTGGGCATCGCACCTCTGCATAAAAGCCAAATACTGCAAATCGGAAATAAAAACAAAGCAATTCTAAAGAAATTTGGCAGGTCTGGCACAATCTGTAGAGAGCAAAACAGAGAGTTAACATTTCAAGTCCAAAGATGATTCTTTGGAACTGTAAGGGCCAGAAAATGGTGTGTTTATGCTGTTCACAAAAGGGAAGGAGGAGAGAATGGGGCAGATGCTGAGGAGGCCCAGAGCAAAAGCTAAAACTCCCTTTAGTTAATTGTGGTACAAAAATGTTGAGATGTAAAATAAGTGTTAACAGTAGGTTTGAATAGGAGAAAGTAGATCAGCTCTACT